ATTATATTATATTATATTATTATATATTACAATTTATTAATATAATTATATTATATAATATAATTATATAGTATATGTGTATATATTACATATAACTATTTGTAAACTTATAAAAAAATTATCATTCATCTTACGCTGCAAAACGTAGACATTGTTAATGGAAATATCTTCCCTGCGGTAATGTGAAAAGGTTTAGTGGCGCGTAGTATCATTAAAACAAATATTCTCTCCTTTTTTGATTCCAATGTGTACCACTCGAAGTTGCACAAAGCACGATACACTTCTTCGCACTTAATACGTATATACATGTAATTTAATTTATTTATATTAATTTTTATTACGTGAAAGCGAACATACAACTTACTTGTTCTACCACAATTTCTCCACCTGCACAATAAAGAAACGTGTACGATATTAGAGTAACGACACCGATCATAATGAAACATCTTCGTAAGAGGGATATATCACTTATCTCACCGGAAATTATCTAAAAATGCAATTTGTTGAATAGCAAAATTACACAGTATTCAAATGACAGTTAGAAAACTTTGCACACTATCGTTTTATTAAATCAATAAAAACGTGCAAAGTGTGTAATTTTACACATGATCGTTTTTTGTTCGCTCTTACACACTTACAGTAACCATCAGAAATCCGTATAGACAAAACACAATAGCAAAATAAAAAACCAGTCCAAACATCAGTAAAGTAAACGTCTCTTCGATGGTATCGGCAAACCTGTGAACACATAATGTAAGTTACAGATATTCGAAACAACTTGTGTTCCATCGAAAGAGCACAGAGAGAGAGCGAAAATATATAACGTGGAACATTTTATTATTTATCGCGTGACGTTTAAAATTCACAAAAACCTTATCAGTCGTAGATGCGTCTTTATGTTGTTACGCAGAGCGAAATCGAAATTTTTATTCGATACCATGTTGATCAATCTGTGCTTAAAGTTTTCCAATTGACCGCAGATATGCAAAATCGCAAGTCCAAAGAAGGAGTCCACCGACGTGTAAGCTATTCCGCCAGCGGCCATCGTCACGGCTTGTGCAACAACTGTGAGTTCGAATTGCGGACTTTTATCCGTGTCATAAAAGTAATACGTCTGCAGCGGCAACAATCTGTTTCCTCGGTCGGTGAGATTTGTCAAGTATCTGAAGTGCAAGCCGAATGACGGAAGTACGATGAGCACGACGTTCACGAACGCCATCAAACAGCATCCGCAGATCATGAGTAGACGGGCGATTTGCGCCTGTCTTATCATCACGTTTTTTTCAATATCTTCTCTCACTACCGTCCAATCTTCCGCTATCATGTTTATCATAAGTGAAACAGCTAAAAAAACACAACAAGATATATCAATAACTCAAAAGAGAGATCAAAACCTTTCATACCTGATCGCTTCCATCTCATGATGATAAGTTTCCACAAAACTATGACTAAGGGTAGAGTAACCTGGAGATTGTCTATAATAAGTATCATATCGTCCCATACCTGTGCAAGGGAACATAAAAGTGGAACGATAATTACGAAAGTCACTATAACAAAAGTGACGAGCACGCGGAAGTCGGAAATGACGGTACTGGCTGATCGATCAGTTTTCGGCCACAAACCGACGAAATTTAGACCGAACCGATGCAGTTTGACAGACCATACGAAATCTAACACGAAATTATTGCACGTTAATAAAAATAAACGTCTCACACAAGTGTGTATACACTTATAGTAAATATTAAAAAATTTATTTAAGAGAGCAAAGAGAAAACTAAACGTGATAATCACTTGATACCTCGATAGCCCGACTGTGCATAAATGTCCATGATGAAGATCACTGCGAAGAGACGCTCACGTCCCCACTTGTCGTACTATCTCGAAAGGTCGATCCACTACGCATGCTTGCGTTTTAACAATTTCCCTGATCTTCGTCGCGTTAAATGCATTAAATAGTAATTGTTCTCATTTGCTGCAGTTTGCGACAGCCGTCTGTTTCGTAAAAAAAAACTTTACGAACGGGGAAGAATAAGTCACAAAAAATATCGACGTTCGTGTTAACAAAGAGAGAATGCGTTTTCTTATAACGTGTCGTCGGATCGTTGAACTCGCTACAGAGTTTTTTCACGCTGGACGTAAATGTTTTTTTGACGTTCGCGTTGGTCATAATAAGAGATACAAAAAAACTACTTAAATTTTTATATACTTTTATGGCGAAGACCGCCGACGAGAGAAATAGCAAAATTTTACTACTTCTAACAAAAAAGTGGTACGATATAAAACCAGCGATATATCTCACACGTGACAATGTCTTACACACACTTATACAAATATTATCAATTTATCTTTTATGAAAGAAATATTTTTCAAGGACTATTCTTCTATAAGGATAACAAAATTGTCTACTTTGTGTTTACCAAAATTCCTAGTTTATTTTATACATATAAACTACTGAATGTTATTTATATAATCTACTACAAATTGTTAATAATATACATACTCAAGTGCATGTTTTGTAAAATAACGTCATAAATAGTAATATAATAATAACGAAAAACAAATTTATCTTTACTCTTAACCAAACAAATTATTAACAAATTTTTAGTTATCATTAGCTATACTCGGATTGTAATTATTCTATACGTGTTTTTTACGGAAATAAATTTGATGTGTTACCGCAACTATACTAACACATAATGATTTTATTCGCTCAGTGCCAGTAAAAATGATATGTAGCCAGCAGATGTTTTTAGTAACTAAATAAAGTAACATAAGATTACTACATAAATATATTAACATATTAAAGAAAAAATGCTATATATACATGTAAGATAACACCAATATGTTTGTCTGCGCAGACGTTTCGTTAATATTAACAATAAACAACTGAAATCACATTGACCACAAATTATTTTTATTTTTTCTATTTTTTCTGACCTATAAGGCATAACATCTAGCGCGACGCACATATAGGAGTTACTCTACAAAGAATACCAAAAGCACACAGTAATATCCGTTTATAAAATACACTACTTTCTTATAAGTGACAGTTCCCTCACATACACATTTTTACAAACACAGTTTGACTTCGTTGATTAACTTAAAAACAGAAACTACCGTAATTTATCAAAAAAAAAATAGAAAAATGCTTACGCTGCAAAAAGTGGACATTGTTAATGGAAATAATTTTCCTGCTGTGATGCGAAAAGTTTTATTGGCACGTAGCATCAGTAAAACAATAATTCTTTGCTGTTTCGACTCTAATTTGTACCACTCAAAATCGCATATAGTACGATATAATGCTTCACACTTACAATGCAATTTATATTATTTGTAGTGATTATATGAAAATATATGTTTTATGAAAAAGTAAATGTAAATAACTTACTTGCTCTGTTACAATCTCTCCGGCAACACAGTAGAGAAACGTGTATGACAATAGAATAATAATACAAAAACCTGCAAAACATCTTCGTGAAATTGATATATTATTTGAGTTATTACCGGAAATTATCTGCAAATGAAATTTGTCAAATAGAAAAATCACACAATGTTTAAATCAACATTTTTTTAAGTGTTTCCTTGAAAAAAATGAAGATATGCAAAGTATGGTATAATATTATGTTTTTTTTTTAAATACTTGTATTATAATTTTTTTTTATACTTACAGAAACTACTAGAAATCCGTTTAGACAAAACAGAATAGCAAAATAAAATACCAGCCCCAACATCATGAAAGTAAATGTATCTTCGATATTATCAGCAAATCTGTAAAAATATATGTAAAACCGCTTGTAAATAACTATATTAACAAAACATTTTTGTTACATCCAAACCATAGGAACTGACAGTGCAAATTAATTTAATTTTAATAAATAAGATAAAATCTACAACAACCTTACTATACGTAGATGAATCTTTATGTTATTACGCAAAGCGCAGTCGAAATTTTTTTCCGAGATCAAAATGAGCATTCTGCGCTTGAAGTTATCCAATTGGCCGCAAATATGAAA